TATATATATATATCGAAACTTACAAATAGAAGCTATATATAATAAGAAGCTGTTTTGTTCCGAATATACGCAAGTTCATGTTCTTGGTATTTAAATATTTATACATTTAAGTAGAAATATTACGTAGTTTTATCATCTTTAAATAATTAAATAATGCATAAATCAGCCACTGTTCTGACTTTTGATAACATTTTTTTTTAAAAATACTATAGCTAAAGCTGTCAAATACTGTTTTTTCATGGTACATTTTATAAGATATGAAATAGGAATTATATTCCACTAGAATAGTTTTTTTACAACATAATAAGAAGCGGATTTGTTCTGAATATACACAAGTTTAGTTCTAGGAATTTCAAAATTTATGCACTTACGTAGAAATATGTTATAGAATGCAATATTTTCTATCTAACAAGTTGAGTTTATCGCGTAAAAGAAGTTTACCTACATTTTTTGAAAAAAAATCATGTTTTCGTAAAATTTTCTGAAAACAACATGCATAGAGAATGTTTATTCAGAAACAGTTTCTAAACGTGTGAAAAAATTGTTCGGAAAGAAGGTATTTCTCGTAAAAAATACAAAAGGAACGTTTCATCATCGATGAGAGAAAAGACGAGGAAAAACTTTTTTTTCGACAACGTAAGCGTACTATTTTTAGTTTAGACGTATATTTTTAAAAAAGATATAACTCATTTACTTGTTTGCACGAATGAGAAAATGATTTTCATTTTGGAATGATATTCTAATAATTGAAAACTGCCTTATATTAATATTTTTTAGGCTGATTGTGGTTTAGATCTTTTTTCATCTTTAATAGTGATATGGAGATATTTTGGTACTCCTTACAGCACTATATCTCACTCAAGAGAAGTAAAGTAAGTGATCTTATAAGTGTTACATAACTTAATATTTAAAAATATTAAATAACTATTAAAATAAATATTTTCTAATTTTTGTAAGAAAAGACAATTTTACAATGATTTTAAAAAAGTAGAGTAAATTATGTTAAAAGAATTATTTGAGTTAATCATTAGTAATATAAAATAATGAAAGTAATACATATTTATTAATGTTTGCTGAAAAGAAACATTTTGTAGTGCATATCACTTTCAAGAAAGTTGAGTAAATAATATTTGAGTGTTATAATTATTATTGATTCAATGTTAGTTAATAATTAGGAATATAAAATAATTAATACAATATATATTTGTTTCATAATTTTGTTAATTTTTGTATGAAAGAAACACCTTACAGTGCTATATGACTTTCAACAAATTAAAGTAAATAACATTAAATAATTGTAATTATCATCGATCTGATGATAGTTATTTTGGAACAATGGAAATAACGAAAATCTCGGTTTATTCACTAGACTTCGTCTTAAGTAAACTCTTTTCCTTTAGAGCATATTTTCATATGATCTGTTAATGAATATTAATAATAATTAATTATTTATATCTAAGGCAAAGAATGTGCTAAATAATACATGAAAAATTGAATCCATTAAAATAGAAAAATTAATCGTGTATCTTTACTGCTAATAGAAAAAATGGCAGCTAATTTAATAAATGTTTTCTGAATTAAACTGGAAAATCTCTTCTGGGAAAACTAATTAGGAAGTAATTTAGATTTTTTTTTAAAAAAAGTGAAAGTAATCTTATTAGGACATTAACTTTATTTTGTATAAGTCGTTAGAAATTTTTTTAATTAATTTAATGATTACGCAATTTGCAATAGACTAAATCCTTCAAGTAAAAGTTCGTTATTTCAAGTATTTCGGTTAAATCCCGGGCAAAATACAAGAACAGCTAATTTCATGTTTGGTGAAAGTTTCAGTTAAAACTTCTCAGTCTTTATTATCAAGGGCAATCAAACTGTTAGAGAATAAACAAATTGCTTTATTCGAACCAAAAATGCCATACATACGAATACACTTACTTAATTATTATTTAAGTAGTTTTATATTTTTCTTTTTATATTCGTTTGTTTTTATTTCAAACTTATAAACTAACTAAAATAGTACAGGGTGATTGTAAATTTGGTTAACTAAAAACTAATATGACCCTCTACCGTTTACCGTAGAGCATACCATATGAGTGATCGAAATGAAATATGGTACACAGGTATTATGATCTATGCACTCAAAAATGATGTTAAAAACTATCGTCCCACTTGTAGTTACAGCTACAAATTTTTGAAACTTTAAAATGACAACATCCACTTCTTTTTAAAAATAGAAACGTTATCCCTACTGTAAAAAACCTCCGATGCCATTTTTTTGCAACCATTAATGAGGAGAGAATGTAGTAAGAGCCTATAAAAACAAAGAAAAAACTATAAAGAAAACAAGTAATGTCTTAAAATTTTTTGACATGTTCTTCCTCCCATGTTCGACATGTAAATAGAATCTAGAGAGTGTAGTAAAAGCCTATAAAAACAAAGAAAAAGCTATAACGAAAACAATTAATGCCTTAAAATTTTTTGACGTGTCCTTCCTCTCATGTTCGACATGTACATAGAATCTAGAGAGTGTAGTAAAAGTCTATAAAAACAAAGAAAAAACTATAAAGAAAACAAGTAATGTCTTAAAATTTTTTGACATGTTCTTCCTCCCATGTTCGACATGTAAATCGAATCTAGACAATGTAGTAAAAGCCTATAAAAACAAAGAAAAAACTATAACGAAAACAATTAATGCCTTAAAATTTTTTGACGTGTCCTTCCTCTCATGTTCGTAGAATCTAGAGAGTGTAGTAAAAGCCTATAAAAACAAGGAAAAAACCATAAAGAAAACAATTACTGCCTTAAACTTTTTTGACATGTCCTTCCTTCCATGCTCGACATGTACATAGAATCTAGAGAGTGTAGTAAAAGCCTATAAAAACAAAGAAAAAACCATAAAGAAAACAATTACTGCCTTAAACTTTTTTGACATGTTCTTCCTCCCATGTTCGACATGTAAATAGAATCTAGAGAGTGTAGTAAAAGCCTATAAAAACAATGAAAAAACTATAAAGAAAACAATTAATGTCTTAAAATTTTTTGACATGTTCTTCCTCCCCTGTTCGACATGCTCATGGTATCTAGAAAGTGTGGCAATGGCCTTTAAAAAAAAAAAAAAAAAAAGAAACAATTAATGTCTTAAAAGTTTTTTTGACGTGTCCTTTCTCCCATGTTCGACACGTACATAGAATCTAGAGATTGTAGTAGAAGTCTATAAGAACAAAGAAAACACTATAAAGAAAACAATTAATATATTAAAAACTTTTGACATGTCCTTCTTCCCATGTCTGACACGTACATATAATCTAGAGAGTGTAGTAAAAGTCTATAAGAACAAAGAAAAAACTATAATGAAAACAATTAATGTCTTAAAAGTTTTTGACATGTCCTTCCTCATATGTTTGACATGCTCAATAGTATCTAGAGAATGGTAAAAACCTTTAAAAAAGAGAAAAAAAACTACGGAAAAAAGCAGTTAATGTTTTGAAATTTTTTGACGTGTCCTTAGTTTCTTCGCTGTTTTTAAAGGTTTCTAATCATATTCTCTTCTCGTTAGTTGTCACGAACAATGGTGACGCTTTCGTAGGAACCCCTAGCGTCAGAATTTCTTATGCTAAAAACATCGTTCCAACTCCATTTTAGGTTTTTAACTGTAAGAATTACGTTCCAATTAAAAGGGGGTGTTGTCATTTGAAATTTTGAAATTTTGTCACTTAAACTGCAACCGTAAGAGCTACGCTATCGTTTTTAACATCATCCTTGAGTGTGTAAATCACAATACATATGTACAAAACTTTATACCGTTTTCTCAAACGGTATGCTATCTGGAGGGTCATATGTTGTCAAAGTTATTTTATAATCACCTTGCATGCGAAACCCTGTATTGATTGTAAGGGCTTGAATCGATAGAGAAATGAATCGAATATTTTTTAGTTAGTTGACGTTTCCAAGTATTTAAAATTCTCTTTTAATTTGCAATTTGTTAATCTGAATTGAAATTTTTTTCTCCAAAATCTAACTAAGCCTAATTAGAAACTTTTGAATCAATGTAAGAAGTAAAAATAATTAACAAATAACAAACTAAAATGAAATATATTCAAATTTCTTAATTTCTGAAGCCAGAAAATAAATAGTAATTAAACATAATTCCATAATTATTTGGAATAAGATAAATATTAAGGTGGTTAGGCAGAAAATATAAGATTGTATATTGTCTCTGTATAAGGGGACATTTATTTTACCTAAATTTCACAATTCAATAGTTACAGAATATCAATTGTTAGTCAATATCTTACCAAAGTCTCTCATGGATTTATTGATTTTGAATCAGGGAATACCGTTACTTTACTTAAAAATTAATGTAGAGTGAAAATTACTGTCCATTACTCTGAATAAAACGTTGCTATTCGAAGAGTTTGTTTCAAAACGATTACAGCCCAAATTTGCTTTTTTAAACGCCAAGAACTATTACTTCACCTAACTTAGTAAAACAAATACCTCCATATTACGATTCAACTACTTTTTGTAAATGAAGAAAAAATGCAAATAATGAAAAAAAAATCGTAGTTCCAGAGTTTTAAAGTATTAAAAGTTATAAAAAACTAACAAAGCCTTCAACTCTTGGTTTAGTAAGAAAATTTCATATTCAATTACTGTATCATATTACCGCAAATTCATAAATTTTTTTTTTTAAAAATAATTTCTTTCAGAGCATGCCTGAGTTTAGGAATTCTTTTTGTGCTTGCCGGAACAGGAGTGATTTTTGAAGGCATATATTTTTTGTGCATAAGAGAAGTTCCAAATTGGGTATGTTATGACGTAGAAACACCTAAAGGCATATATTTTTTGTGTGTAAGAAAATATTCAAATTGGGTATGTAACGACGTAGAAACTTCCGAACACATACATTTTTTGTGTGTCAGAGAAGTTCCAAATTGGGTATGTAATGACGTAGAAACTTCTGAACGCATAAATATTTTTGTGTGTAAGAGAAGTTCCAAATCGGGTATGCAATGACGCAGAAACTCCGGAAGGCCTATATTTTTTGTGCGTAAGAAAAAAATTAAATTGGGTATGTAATGACGTAGTAACTTCTGAACGCATAATTTTTTTTGTGTGTAAGAGAAGTTCCAAATTGGGTAAGCAATGACGTAGAAACTCCTGAAGGTATATATATTTCGTGTGTAAGAAAAAATTGAATTTGGGTATGTAATGACATAGAAACTTCTGAAAAGAACAAGGTAAGGGTTCAAAAAACTGAAAATGCATGAGTAACAAATTTTTAAATTTTTTTACTAATCTTGAACATTTAACCCCATTCCTGGGATGATTCAAAATCTTAAATAGAAACTGCCCTTTCTTTTTTCCTGCTTAGGCATGCCTCCCAGTATTTGAAGTTTGAAACAACCATTTTTCAAGTAGAAGTGAACTGAAGTGAAAATACTAAAACTAATAGAATTTATATGAAACATTTTTCAAGACTTATGAACAGGGGCCTTCTTAGATGTTAACTTGTATTAAACTGTTTAAATAAATTATACAGGGTGTCTCAGGATTATTGGAATGAAATTTAAGGGGTGGTAGGGCACATGGAAAGGATTCGGATTTGCCTAGAAACCCATGTTTGGAAACGTTTTCGTTCGCCACTAGGTGGTGCTGTTCATCCAAGGCTCCATCGTAATATGAAATGATGCTTTCTTGCGAATATTATGGTATTTTTACAGCTGTTGTGAGTTCGCAACTGTTACTCATGACTGTTAGTTCAAATTTAGCCTACCTAAGGCCAGAGTTGCTTACGCTTATTTTAAAAACTGGCGTAAAATGTCAATATGGAGAAAAGCCACAGTTTCGTGAAAATGAAAAGCGTTTGTGGATTAATTTCTGAATATTTAAAAATTTACTCCAATCCTGCATAACTTGGGACCATAAAAGTTTGCAAAAATTGAGAATAAGGCAGTAATTTTGATAATTTTCATCTAAGTGAAAAAATGTCACCAAATTGGCAATTTTTTTAAAAAAAAATTTATAACTTTTGAAATATTTAGGTTATTTGTTTGTTCTAAAGCCCAGTTAATTCTTTACGACAAGATTATATGCATAGTTTAAAATAATTTCATTGTTTCAACTGTAAGGCACTTAAATTACAGCTTTTTTTATTTTCCTTGGCGACAGAGCTTCAAAAAACAGCGTTAAGCAGCATGGATATCTGTCTTCGGGGTGCGCTGAAAAGTGCTTTGTACGCAACAACTGTGGATTCCGAAATGGATTTGGTTTCAAGAATTTGGTGCTGCTGTGGATATCCAACAAAATCCAAGTGTATTTGACAGAGATCGCCAATCCATAGCCTGACAGGGTAAAGCATATATCGTTATCAATGGTGGAAACTTTGAACATCTTTTGTGACATTTTCACATACCAGAGTACATGTAATATATTAGACCTATAAATATTTTAGACGATCCCAGTCTTGAGCCTTTTTGCTTTTTGTACCTGTCATACTACTTTCCCATGACGTTACAGACTATGTGTTACTAGGCAATTCTGAATCCTTGTGATGTCCCCTATCTTCCCTTAAAGTTTGTCCCAATGTTGAAATGTATATATATATATAGGTGGTTAGGCAGAAAATATAAGATTGTATATTGTCTCTGTATAAGGGGACATTTATTTTACCTAAATTTCACAATTCAATAGTTACAGAATATCAATTGTTAGTCAATATCTTACCAANTATATATATATATATAGGTGCAAATAGCTGCTGTAAGGATATGCCAATGATGACCACTATTCGTAAAGCTTCTTGTGACAGAATTTTTGGATCAAAAAATACTGCCCTACAAAGGGTTATGTACAAATGTTCAACCATTTTTTTCCAAATATTTTTTAAACTGCAGTTTTCTTGAAAAATATTTAAAATATTGCATTTACGCCCTCCAGGTGGGGAATGGGTTAATAAAAAATTTACTGTCATTTAATTTTGTTAATTTTTAAATTTAATTTGTTAAATTTGTTTTAAATTAAATTTATTTTTAATTTTAATTTAATTTGTTAAATTTTTATATTTTGAGGCTTGTCGCAGTCTCAAAATCAGACTTTCATCTGTTTCAGCTTTTTATACGTCGTGTTGTTTAAAATAATAGCAAATTAAGTTTAATCAATGAATGATAAAATATTTAGAGCAGGAATGATGCTACCAAACGAAGAAAAACTCTTTTAGCAAGTATGCATTAGATAAGTTTATTCTTTGAAAGTTAATAAAAGTTTCAGTGATGTGTTGTGCGTAATTTTGCATTGACATTAAAATAATGGACTTGCAAATAAATAATTTTTTTGATTGCTATGAAAAAGGTAAGCTTATGGAATGCCGTGTTGATATTTTGGATTTGCTTATTGAATACATTTTGAAAAAACTGTGAATTTATATAAATACTTTTTTAGAAGAAATAATGTAAATACTCTTTCGTTCCTCTTATGTAGGGGAGAGTCGGGTAGCCCCGCTCACTTAAGGAGTATTGCTTATATTTCTGTATAATATTGAGCAATAATCAATATTTTTGTATGTTTCTATTGTTTTATCATCTAATTAAATAATGCAAAAAGAATAAACCAAAAAAAGAATAGTTTAACTTAAAAAAATAGAAATTTTTAAAAAAACATGTTTTTCAGCTCTTTTCAAAATGTGTCGGGTAGCCCCACCCAGTTACCAAAATTATGCTTTTTGACTATTATTTCAGGTGTAAATGAAAATGACCAATGTATTGACAATAGATAAGCCTCATTTATCATTTTTATCACAAAATTATTTTATTTATTACATATTTATATACTTTTAGTGAATTCTATCATTTAATAACAACAATATTTGTTGTTAAAAATGCATATAACATTCAAATTTGAAGCAATAAAATAATAATCTTTGCAACCGTGCATTTATCGACGAAATAAAATTGGACGGTGATACCCGACATTCATGTGAGCGGGGCTACCCGGAATCGAATTTTTTTGTAAATTTGTAATTACTCGAACAATTTTTCACATATAAACTTCTTTCTTTGTGGAAATTAAACTTAAGACTTTACATACTTTACATACTTTAATGGTGTATGTATAGAAAAAATTATTTTTGTAGTGTTAAAATGAAGTTTAATGGAAACATTCAACCAATTTTTCCTAATTTCATGACTGCTGTATTCAACATATTTTCAAAAGTATTGTTCACCATGTTACCAGCTGCATAAATGCTTGAAACTTTGAAAATAATCTTTTTTTAACATAACAATTAATGTCCAATGGCCCATTGACTTGAAAAAATAGTCTATACATATGAAATTGACAGTGGGCGGGGGTACCCGACACTCCCCTATGCCCAAAATAATTTGAAATAGCACACAACTAATGTTTTTTTTATACTTTCAGTACACGGTGTTGCTAATATTATCTGCAGTTGGAGCAGGTTTTTGCATTTTACTTAGTGTGGTTAAATATATTTTATCAAAAAAGTTGGAAAGTGATACTTTGTTTTTGGATGGTAAGTCAATTACTTTTTTTTTATAAACTAATTACCTTGTTATATATACCTTGTAACATCATTTTGAAATCCTTTTGAAATAAATAAAGCATATTTAAAAAATCATATTGAAGTTGTTATTTATGACGTTAAATTATATGAAAAATAAATACACACATTTTTGGCCTTTTAATGCAGATGTGACACCGGTGTCCTTTTTATATATATATTTCTTGAAGATCTAATTGCTAGCACAAACATATTTTGGTATTTTGTAATGATGAAAAACAGTCTAATGATTACTTAAAAAATATGTTAGATTATCGGACCGGTATTTGTACTAATATATAAAATTAAGATAAAAGTTTGAAAGAAATAATTTCTATAATAATATTTAAAAATTTATCAATAATTGATTTTGTAAATTAAAGAAATTTTAATGATGAATAACTGTTTCTTTTAGATCTAATCAACTGCAAATAAGTGAAATTTTAAAATTTTTTGTTTAGAAGATTTTACCTTTAAAGCAGAAAAAGTCACCGGTGTTTCATGCTGTTTTTCATAAACTATTAAATCCCTAAATATAATATTTTTTACTTATTTTGACCTAAATTAATACGAAATAAAGAAAAAAGCATAAAAAAATATGCTTAGTAAAAATTCTGCATAAAAGGGTTAAGAATTAAAATATTGAATTCAGAAATTGAAATGTTTGAATAGTTAGAACAATTTATGAATTAGTTATGTAAAAAAATTTATGTCTCATTTAGTTTAAAAATATAACTTTAAAGATGAAAATTAAGAAACGATTGCGCGAAGTCAGCACGCATCGTTTGCTCAAAAAACAGCGTTATTTTTTTCACATTAAAGTAATATTTTTGATTAAAAAAAGGAAGATAAATGTTTTTCTTCTAATGTTAAAATTTAGGAAAAAGGCGCTATTATGTTCTTCAAAAAATATATTTGAAATTTTGCAATATTTCTCAGTTAATGTTGTAATTTTTTTTGTATCTGAAAAGTGTCTTAATATGTCTTAATTCAAAAATAAAAGTTTAAGAACGAAATCTGCTAGTATCATTTGCTTAAAAAATGGTTTACTTTTTCACTTGTTAAAGTAATATTTTCGTCTGAAATAAGACGTAGAATGTTTTTTTTTTGAGTTGCAGAATTTTCTGCAGTAACAGTTCGTACTTTGTCGAACAGCTCTCAAAATAAAACAAAACAATACATTTTAAAAGAATTTCTTCTTAATTGAATTTCTAAGTACTAAAAGGGATCATCATAGATATGCTGTTTAATTTGTGCAAACAATAAATTAAGTAGCAATATTCGATACAAAAGTACTTTCTCTAAGAAAACATGATTTTTTTTTTGATTGAGTTTAGATTTTTAAGCTTCAAAACAGATGTAATCACAATCAAGAAAATATAGTTTTAATCAGAAAATCGATTTAAATTGAGGACACCTTAATGTGATAGTTTAAAGAGTGAACTTCGTTATGTAATCTTCTGAATTTTTGCAGTCTCTGTATGTAATCTATTCATTATTTAATTAAGTAATTGTAGGAAAAATTTTTGATTGTAAAGTTTAAAAAATTTACTACATTTAATTACGTAATTTTAAGTGATAAAATCTAAGAGTTTACCGAAGTTTAGTTTTTGAAATATAAAACTTAAAGAAGTCTTTTTTTTTAAAAATTTTTATTTCTTAAAAACATTCACTCTATTTCTATAGATTTCTACTATATTTTCTCATAAACTATATGATTTTATGTCATTTGACATGAATGCATGTCAAGTGACATACAATCATGTAGTTTACGCAGATGTAAAAATTGTATGCCGAATATAAAATATTTCAGACTATTAAAAAACTAAATGACAAAAAGAATAGAAAATGATAGTTAAAAATTTATCGTTTTTTACCTAAAGGTTTCTTTGGGTATATGAGTGCTATAAATAGGTATATAGAGTTCTTGATTGGCACAATTAGCTCCTAAGATACAGCGAAATTTGCTATAGTAATACTAGGTGACATTAAAAGGTTCAATATATTTAAATTATTTTTTACCATAATTTTAGATTTTTGTTCGAGTTAAACATTGACGGAAATATTTCAATATCTCTTAATGTTTCATTTATTTGTATTTCAGCTTTAAATTCAGCTTTGAGTGGGCTGTTTGCTTTTGTGATAATCGTAAGTGATATTGCATATTGGAAGGATGAAAATATTTGGTTCCTTGATCCAGTTCTTAGCATAATATTATCAGTGGGATTAATCGCTTTCGGAATACGGTAAAAATATTATTTTAATTATATAATTTAATTTTTTTATTGTTTTTCGTCATCATTACACTGCGCAGGATATTACACTTGCACAATGTTGAATATTCTCTTACCATGTATTCTTTAGTTCAATTTTTAGCATAATATTATCAAAATGAGTTATAACTTTTGGGAAATAATAATTTCGTTTTAAATTGCATTCTTTTTTGGCATTCTATTTTTATATTTTATTTTATTGCAAAGACATTAATTACATTTGCATAAATTTAGAATTTATTTAATTATCAATGCAAGCTCGTACCAATATCATTAACTGTTTAATAAAAATTCTTATGAAGTTTTTTTTCGAATTAAATTTTTAACAGGATGTTATCAATAGGGATAAATTGCAATTAAGGTAAATTTTAATTGCATTATTAAACTTATAAAAGTGCAGATCTCAAAAGGCGGGATCTAACATAGATCTAAAGTTTAAGCTTTGACAATTAAATTTAAATTTAATTCGCAGTCAAACTTTTTGCGTACATATTGTGTCAAGTTTTTCGTCAAATTAAAATTTTGACAGATGTTATCAGTGGGATAAATTGCCATTAAGGTAAATTTTCTTTCATTATTAAACTTCCAAAAGTGCAGGTCGCAAAAGGCGGGATCATAACATAGATCTAAAGTTTAAGCTTTGACAGTTAAGCTTAAATTTAATTCTCAGTAAAGCTTTTTGTGCACATTTTGAGTCAAGTTTTTTTTTGAGTTAAATTTTTGACAGGATGTTATCAGTGAGATAAATTGCCATTAAGGCCAATTTTTTTTGCATTACTAAACTTCTAAAAGTGCAGGTCTCAAAAAGCGTGATCATAACATAGATCTAAAGTTCAAGCTTTGACAATTAGGCTTAAACTTAATTTTCAGTAAAACTTTTTGTGTACATTTATATTTCTGTCTCTTGATCAGAATTAATATTAATAATTTCAAAAGTTTTATATAAATATCCTAAAAATATTTTTTCTAGCCAAAATGATCAATTTTGACATTCATAGTGTTAATTGAACAAATGTAACACCCAAAAAAGGTTTTTTTTTTAATAGTAATTAGATATTTGTAAGTAAAAATAACAATATAAAATTTAAATAAAACAGTTACTTGATAATATAATTAGTATATAAATAGATAAGTTGTATTTATCGAACAAAATCACGTTATTACTTTAACTGAAAGTAGATCAAAGTAATTACTTCAATATTAAACTTATTTATTCTTCTTTAAATTAGTTTTCTAAGTATTGAAGTATTTCTTTATGTTTATATTAACTATTACTGCAACAAAATGGCATTTTCTTTTATAGGGAATGTATAATTGCCCTAACCATGAAACGTACACAATGTCGATATTTTATCTCGTAAATTTTTATTTTTTAAATAATCTATTGCCCTGAAATGTAATGAAAAAAGTTGTGTAAGTGTTAATTTCATTTAAATAGGAAAGTATATTGCATAAGTAGAGAATCTTTAGTGCATATAACTTAAAAGACCATAAAATTTAAAATTAGCTGCTATTAACATTAATACTCCCATCTTCTGAGAAGCACTCTAAAATAATATGCAATGTTTGATGTTTTTTTGTCAAATTTCTATTCAAGTATTTTTTCAAATGTATGTAAATATTTTTCGCATTTTCTTAATGCCTTTCTAAACAAGGAGTAAGAAAAAGTTTATAATATCAGAAAAATGATTATATGCACGGAAAAAAAAATCTGGTAAAATTATCGTACTGTTTGGTAAGGGCATACATTTCTGGTAAATAAAATCAAAATATATGGTATTTAAGCCATGAACTTTATAATTTTTTAGTTCATATGGTAACGGTTTACAGAAAGTTCTAGTTTTCAAAAATATAGTTCTATTTATCACGCTTTTAGTAAAAAATACAGAATTAAAATGTAAAAGTAACCGAATAAGTCGTTTTTATGCCATGCTCAAAGTTAACATGCTAAAATTGTAAATTTTTTTCACATATTATGAAACCATATTTTATTGTTAATTTTACCAAGATTATTACGAAAGCGCTTCGGTAAAAACTATAGAGCTTTTTGGTGTTTTCATAGAACTCGAAGCGCGGTAAATTTTATTCTACCATATTCTTGAAATGACGGCCATACTTTTTTTCACAGTGCATGAAAAAGGTTAAAAAAAAAATTTATAAAAAATGAAAAAAGGTTTGTGAAGTTAATATAAAACGGAGAAGGTCATTTAGCGTAAAAATAATACTAAAATTGCCAAATTCAAATTTTTGACATTTACACTTTAAACGCATTAAAATTTGTATGTTAAGTTAAGTTTAAATAAAAACATATTTTTTTATGTTTTCAGAACTATTATAATACACGGAAAGCGGATAGAGTACGAAACAAATGGAAATTGATCTTTCTTAAGAAGATGAAAATGTATTTTTTTCCGAATACCTTTTAAACTATGTATACAGTGCTCTGAGAATAGTTATAAATCCTGTGGATTAATTCATGTGCTATATAAGAATTATTAATTTTATCTATTATTAAAGTATAAATTTTGGAATCTATATAATTTTTAAATATTTCCTTGAAATATTTATAATATTGAATACTGTATACTGTTTTCAATTTTTGCAAAATTTGTTGAATTTTGATTTTTTGAAATTGATTGTATAACTAATTAGCGTTGACAGTAATTTTATTGACCTTGTTTATTGATTTCTGTATAATAATGAATAAAAATATTTTTGAATAAAAATTGTTTTGAATAACTATTTCTCTTTGAATGAAACATACATGACTCAAATTTTTAAATTGTTTCTATGCAGAAAATTGCAAAATTATTTCTTGGAAGATTTCAGAGAAAATGTTTTATTCTAAATCACTTTAATAGGCAAGGTATTTGAACATGATTGGTTGAAAATAAACCAAACAGTAATATCTAGCTTGCAATAAAATGAAAACTTGTCCCAAAATATTTGCTTCCCATGCTTTATTTTATTTTATGACTAATGTTAAATAGTCACCCATTTCTGAATTTTCGGCAATCAATGTTTTACTTGGTTGTTTTGTAATTTTGAGCTTGACCTAGAAGACAAATGAACTCCTGGATCAAACATTGGGACAAATTGTTCTTCGTAGGGGACTTTTCAATGGAACAGACTTGCATTTGTGTTACACGGAGAGGAAAACCATGAAAAACTTCTCTGGTTAGACACGGTTACCAACAATTTGTATACCGCTAAGGATGTTTTGCATCAGCACTGTGTCGGTGAGATCGACTAGCCATAGCTAGCCATAGCTCACATCCTCTAAGCTACAGCGGCTGTTATGCATGTTTTAATATTTTTTTGAATACACGTTTTTAATGTTATACAGTGAGTTAGAAATATTTGTGCTCATAAACAATATTACACCTAGATACGCTCTTTGATAACTTAGTGACATTAAAAGTTGATTCATTGTTTTTTGCTGCTTAGTGTTTCAAAAAGCTCTTAAGAAAAGTAAATAACATTGAAATTTATCGAAATATAATTTGATCATGAGAAAATGTTGAATCTGATCTAATGATATTTAAAAGATCTGATGTCTAATGATAATGCAAAAAGAAAAAAAAAGCAAATTCCTGTGCTGAGCTTACTAGTTTTATTTTTCCAAGGACAAAATCTAATTTTTTCTAACTTTTTTCAGATGAAATATTTTAACTTGATTCGTCGAAAACTCATCACGAAAAAGTTTTGTAGGTGCGGTAAATTAAAGGGAGTTAACTTTTACTATAAATAGAAGCTTTTTAAATTAGAGTTCAATGTATAATTTAGTTAAAACATTTCATTTCATTAAAGCAATTGCAATTTCAGACAATTCAATATATATTCGTTTACAGAGATATATTTTTATTAGCTCGATAACATGACAGTTTAAGCTTTTAAATGTGCATAATGCAAGTCAAATATTTAATGAAAATTCCCTTGCATTAAAGGAAGAAGGAAATGAAAATATTATTTTGGCAAAACGTACGCAAGAGAAAATATTTGAAAAATTATGTATCAAATAATAAAAAAAATCGTGAAATCGAGAATAAGAATTATAATTAATTAAAACTTTTCATAATGTTAGCAATTGAAATTATTCAACATTTTATCTATCCAAAAATATTTTTTTAAAAAAATAATTCTTGATAAAAATTTAAAAAAAATTGTTTTTATAATATACTTTTAAACTTTTAGTATAAAAGCATATTCTAAAAAAGTATCCTAAAAAGTATACTTATAAGACTTATGCTATACTTATAAACCTAAATTTTTTAAAAGTATAATATACTTTTATACTAATGTACTTTTACTATAAATAGAAACTTTTTATACTACTGTTTGATTTTATTTTAGATAACATGTCAGCTTAAGTTCCTTGATACTACTAATCAAATATTTAATGCAAACTTCATTGTACTAAAGTTATAATGAGATCAGTACACTATTTAACAAAACATACACAAGAAAAAATATTTGAAATATAAAGTATATAATAACAAAAAAAAATCGTTAAATCAAGTTTACGAATTATGATTAATTAAAACTTTTTATGATATTAGCAATTGAAATTATTCAACTTTTAATCTATTTAAAAATATTTCTTTGAAAATTCTTCTTCTTCAAAATAATTTTTAAAAATATTGTTTTTATAATATGCTTTTAGAACAAAATCATATTATAAAAATATATACTAAAAAGAATACTTTTAAGCTTATATTTTTATACTAATATAATTTTACTTTAAATATAAACGTTTTAAAGAGGTGTTTGTTGTATAGTTAAGTTGAAACATTTCATTGCAATAAAGTTGCAAAATAATAAAAAAAAATTGCATTTCAAGACATAATTTAAAAAGAAAATATTTTTTTTAGTTCGATAACACGCCCGCTTAAGCGTTTTAATGCATATTGCGAGTCAAATATTTAATTCCAACTTCATTGCATAAAAGCTATAATGAAATAAAAGTACCATTTTAGCAAAATATACACAAGAAAAAATAATCAAAATCTTACTATAAAAAATAAAAAATTCGCAAAATGAAGTTTAAGAATTATAATTTTTATGATGTTAGTAATTGAAATTATTCAACATTGAATCTATCAAAAAAAATTCTTAAAAATAATTTTTTGTAAAAGTAATAATTAGGAAATTGTTTTTGTAACATACTTTTATACTTTTAGTATAAAAGCATATTATAAAAAATGTATAATTAAATAGTATAAAAGTATACTAATATACTTTTAACTAATATACTTTTACTATGAATAGTAGAAACATTTTAAATTTGTGTTTGCTGTATAGTTCAAATGAAACATTTCATTGCAATAAAGCAATTGCAATTTAATGCACTTCAAGATATCTTCGTTTACAAGGATATATTTTTATCAGTTCGACAAGAAAGTTTAAACGTTTTGATACATAATACAAGTCAAATATTCAATGCAAACTTCATTGCACTAAAGCTATAATGAAATAAAAACACTATTAAGGCGAAACATACGCAATAAAGAAAAAAATATTTGAAATATAATGAATTAAATAACAAAAAATCGCAGAATCAAGTTTAAGAATTATAATTAAGTAAAAATTTTAATGATGTTACTAATTACAATTATTCAGCATTTAATCTACCTAAAAGATTTTAATTTTATTAAACAACTTTCATATTTTTAGTATAAAAGCATATTATGAAAAAAAGTATATTAAAGGTATGTTTTTAAACTATACTTGTTAAAAGTATACGAATGTATATTAGTACCAATATACTTTTACTATAAATATAAACTTTTTAAATTAGTGTTTGGTATATCATTTAGTTAAAAATTTTANAGTTGTATCTCTGATTCGATTGTTTACAATTAATGCACCTACTTTTGGCAGTGCAATCATCAATCTTGTGGCCCTTACTGCCACAGTTTGCGCATACCAATGTTTGACTGATGCAATGTTACCAATACGACTACTAATGTTTAACTCCGTAGCCTTGTTATTTTGAACCCAATCCAGAAGACAAGAGAACTCTTGGATCCAGTATTAGGAGAAATTTGCTTTCGTGGAGGACTTTTTGATAGAGCTAACCCGCATTTGCGTTACATGGAGAGGAAGATCACGAGTACCTCCCACGGTTAGCTTGACGGCAAGGGGACTCTAACCCATGATCCGTCTACCACTGAGGATATTTCACATCAGCACTGTGGTCGGTGCAAGCCGTAGCGACTGGGATTCAAACCCGGTTCGTCTCATTGGAAGGCGAACGCTCTATCCCCTGAGCCATCGCGGCTCTTAAGATATACTTTTATAGGAATATATTTTTATTAGTTTGATAACATGCCAGCTTAAGCGTTTTAATGCAAAATACAAGTCATATATTTAATGCTAACTTCATTGCACTAAAGCTATAAGGAAGCTATAAGGCACCATTTTAGCAACATAAATACAAGAAAAAATATTCGAAATTTACAGTAAATAATAAAATCAAGTTTAAGAATTATAACTCTTATGATGAAATTACAAAACAATTAATCCATTCAAATTTTTTTTTAAAAGTCATTTTTGGTAAGCCGTCTTAGAATTATTAGCATCAAAATGTTTTAGATATATGTTGTTTGAATCGGGTGTAAAAGGTTATAAATATAAAACCCAAAATAGTATCACAAGTGCCTCGCTTCTAATTGAATCAACGATTCCGAAAATAGGCAAGATGACCTGTTTTCGAAATCATTGATTTAATTTACTATCGGTGCCATAATCCCTATATTGTTTTCCTATTGTTCCTTTACTTTTGATTATTCTGAACTTAAAATATCCAAATCCCAAAATATTTCTTTTATTAAAGTACATTTTTACGCAAATATTTTACAATTTAGGTGGAATTAATAAAATAATACATCAACTACCGTTTCATTGTTTCCCTTAAACATTTTACCTGAATTTGTGGGAATTCGATTGAAGGTTATTTGGGATATTGGGATATTGAACATATTATATAATTTTTAGTAGTTTGAATTAATAAAATAATACAATTACTACCGTTTCATCGAAAGCATAAACATTTTACCTGTATACGTGGGAATTGGAATAAAAGCTATTTGGACCCAATCATACTTTTTTTACTGATGATTGTATAGTGAATAAAAATGAAAAACGGAGCACCAAATAACTTCTGATCTATTAATCGGATTTTCTTGTACTGATATGCAATTCTATTGGTTCAAGGAACTGACCTTAAATTCGTTTATTAATTTCTGGAGATAATATTTTGATCTACTAAATCAAGTGCAAAAACCTACTTTCGCGGAATAAACATACTATAAAATTTTTAGTAGTTTGAATTAATAAAATAATATAATTACTACCGTTTCATCGAAAGCATAAACATTTTTCCTGTGTACGTGGGAATTGGAATAAAAGCTATTCGGATCCAATCATGCTTTTTTTCTTTACTTATCATTGTATAGTGAACAAAAAGGAAAAACGGAACACCAAATAACTTTTGATCGATTAATCGGATTTTCACATACTAATATGCAATTCTATTGGTCCAAGGAAATGACCTTAAATACGTTTATTAATTTGTGGAGATAATATTTTGAGCTACTAACTCAAGTACAGAAACCTACTTTCGCGGAATAAACATACTATATAAATTAATTAGCAGTTCGAATTAATAAAATATTACTGTTACTACCGTTTCATAGAAAGCGTAATCATTTCACCTGTATATGTGGGATTTATATAAGAGAATAGCATTTTATAAAATGTTTGACTTAGGCGTTTTTTATTTTATACGGGTTCGACAGAGCAAACCTTTACACTTGCAGTTGGATTAACTTTGTCAAGGTTTACAATATCTCTTCACGGAGCCGTGATGGCTCAGGGGATAGAGCGCTCACCTTCCAATGAGGCGAACCGGGTTCGAATCCCAGTCGATACGAATTCCACTTCCGGCTTGCACCGACCACAGTGCTGACGTGAAATATCCTTAGTGGTAGACGGATCATGGGTTAGAGTCCCCTTGCCGTCAGGGTAACCGTGGGAGGTTCTCGTGGTCTTCCTCTTCATGTAACGCAAATGCGGGTTAGCTCTATCAAAAAGTCCTCCACGAAAGCAAATTTCCCCCAATACTTGATCCAAAAGTTTCCTTGTCTTCTGGATTGGGTTCAGAATCACAAGGCTACGGAGTTGAACATTAGCAGTCGTAAACCCATAAAATTGGGTCGGCTGTTCAACGACGGGTATAAAATAAAATAGCAAATGTTTAAATTGGGCCGACCGACCTGTGTAGGGGTTAGGGAACTGCCCTTGCATCAGAAAGGTTTTTGGTTCGATTCCCGGGCATTAGAAAAAAAATGTTTAAATTGGTATCTAAGCAAATGAATTCACAGATTTCTAGGAAATAATATTGTGACCATTAAGCAAATTTTTTGCTTTGAAAAATATTTAAATTGTTAAGAATTTTATTTTTTAATTTTTTTTATTTAAGTTTAGAAAAAAACAGAATAAATGGTACTAATTTAGGAAACAATCTTTTTATTATTCTAAATTAAGTGTGCATAAAAAGCAAAATATTATTTGCTTTACTTTCATTTTGAAAATTTGTCTTAAGAGTACTGTGACCTTTTAAGAAATGTAAATGATTCAAAATCTTGCAAATTACAACCACATTTGTTCCTTTCCAAAAAATATATATAATCACCAAACAATACATTAAAAGAATGTGATGTTTTCATTACAGCTACACTGCGGGTATTTTAGATATGGCCTAACTCTTTCAAGTAGTTTAGAGGGTCAAGACACCGTGACGGAAATTACGTGACCATAACCAAAGACTGGAGCGAAAAGATTCTCCGATCAATCTAGAAATCATCCAATGTGGCCATCACTATAGCAACACCATAACAACACACCCCCAAATTAATCCTATGTCTGTTTGCATGATAATGTATTTTCTTAGCAAATTGCTTGGATCCTAAACTTTTCACATTTGTCGACATTTTCAGTAGCAAACTGATTAGACAAACATGGCTGACACTTTTATAGGTCGCATATTATGGCTTTTTTGTCTGGTGTCAGCTTGTGTTGTAACGTACTATACATGGAGTTGCGAAGGTGAGTTTGAACTTTAATTTGTACCATGGAAATAAAATTATCAAGAAATATTGAGTTGCAGGGTTATAAACAAGAGCCACACAAGACGTGATAGTAATGGTTATTTTTATATTCTTGAATGGGATTCAAATATTAAATTTCTGTTTGGATAGACAGTGATGGTCAGTGGTTCTACACTGTAGTGGTCAGAATTGTGGACGTGTCTATTTTCGGTGGGGAAAAACTGTTCTCAACTTAACAGTATATCCTGCCAGAACTATTAGTTGAACCTGATTATTTGATTTGAATAATGTTCATAAGTGGTTAAAGAAGTAATTTTTTTGTCGAGAAATAATTAAAAATTTATGACATGAGATAGAGTTTCAAAGTTTGGTTCTATTTTTCATAATAACGCTTGTAAAAAGAATATTCATTCCATCAAAGTATAAATTAAAAGTAGGAATTTTTAGATCAGATCAAATATAAAAGATAAACACTTGCATGTGATTCAAATATTAAATTTCTGTTCGGATGGACAGTGGTGGTATCTGGGTCCACACTGTAATGGTTACTATTGAGGTCGTGTCTATTTTCTGTGGGGAAAAACTGTTCTCAACTTAACAGTATATCCGGCAAGAAGGAACTAATAGTTGAACCTGATGGTTTGATTTGAATAATGCTCATAAGAGGTTGAGGAAGTAATTTTTTTACCGTGAAATAATTAAAAATTTATGATATGAGATAGAGTTTCAAAGTTTGGTTCTATTTTTCATTATAACGCTTGTAAAAAGAATATTCATTCCATCAAAGTATAAATTAAAAGTCGGAATTTTTAGATCAGATCAAATATAAAAGACAAACACTTGCATGTGATTCAAATATTGAATTTCTGTTCTGATGGACAGTGGTGGTATCTGGATCCACACTGTAATGGTTACTATTGAGGTCGTGCTATTTTCTGTGGGGAAAAACTGTTCTCAACTTAACAGTATATCCGGAAAGAAGGAACTAATAGTTGAACCTGATGGTTTGATTTGAATAATGCTCATAAGAGGTTGAGGAAGTAATTTTTTTGCCGTGAAATATTTAGAAATTTATGATATGAGATAGAGTTTCAAAGTTGGGTTCTATTTTTAATACTAACGCTTGTAAAAAGAATATTCATTCCATCAAAGTATAAATTAAAAGTTGGAATTTTTAGATCAGATCAAATATAAAAGACAAACACTTGCATGTGATTCAAATATTAAATTTCTGTTCGGATGGACAGTAGTGGTAACTGGGTTTACACTGTAATGGTTACTATTGAGGTCGTATATGAGGTCTATTTTCTGTGGGGAAAAACTGTTCTCAACTTAACAGTATATCCGGCAAGAAGGAACTATTAGTTGAACCTGATGGCTTGATTTGAGTAATGTTCGTAAGAGATTGAAGAAGTAATTTTTTTGCCGTGATATAATTAAAAATTTATGATATGAGATAGAGTTTCAAAGTTTGGTTCTATTTTTCATAATAACGCTTGTAAAAAGAATATTCATTCCATAAAAGTATAAATTAAAAGTAGGAAAATTTATATCAGATCAAATATAAAAGACAAACACTTGTATGTGATTCAAATATTAAATTTCTGTTCGGATGGACAGTGGTGGTAACTGGGTCCACACTGTAATGGTTACTATTGAGGTCGTGTCTATTTTCTGTGGGGAAAGGAACTATTAGTTGAACCTGATGGTTTGATTTGAATAATGCTCATAAGAGGTTGAAGAAGTAATTTTTTTGCCGTGAAATAATTAAAAATTTATGATATGAGATAGAGTTTCAAAGTTGGGTTCTATTTTTCATTATAACGCTTGTAAAAAGAATATTCATTCCATCAAAGTATAAATTAAAAGTAGGAAAATTTAGATCAAATCAAATATAAAAGACAAACACTTGTATGTGATTCAAATATTAAATTTCTGTTCGGATAGACAGTGGTGGTAACTGGGTTTACACTGTAGTGGTTACTGTTGAGGTCGTGTCTATTTTCTGTGGGGAAAACCTGTTCTCAACTTAACAGTATATCCTGCCAGAACCATTAGTTGAACCTGATTATTTAATTTGAATAATGTTCATAAGCGGTTAAAGAAGTAATTTTTTTGTCGAGAAATAATTAAAAATTTATGATATGAGATAGAGTTTCAAAGTTTGGTTCTATTTTTAATATTAACGCTTTTAAAAAGAATATTCATTCCATCAAAGTATAAATTAAAAGTAGGAAAATTTAGATCAGATCAAATGTAAAAGACAAACACTTGCATGTGATTCAAATATTAAATTTCTGTTCGGATAGACAGTGGTGGTAACTGGGTACACACTGTAGTGGTCACAATTGAGGTCGTGTCTATTTTCTGTGGGGAAAAACTGATTTCAACTTATCAGTATATCCGGCAAGAAGGAATTATTAGTTGAACCTGATGGTTTGATTTGAATATTGTTCATAAGAAGTTAAAGAAGTAATTTTTTGGGGGGAAATAATTAAAAACCTATGATGTGAGAAAGAATTTTAAAGTTTAGTTCTATTTTTTTTCATATTAACGCTTGCAAAAAGAACATTCATTCAATCAAAATAAAGAAGAGCAAGAAATTTTAACTTGGAAAAGTATTATCACTAATCAAACAAAAATAGACTTTTTATTTGTATGAAAATATTGTAGCTTTTTTAATTTTTTTTCTTTTTTGAGTGGAGATTTTTAAGACTGTTTTCATAAATGCGGATTTTGTTTTTATAGTCAAGGTACATGAGAGTTTATAAAGGGTATTTTCTCCTTATGACTTGAACTTGCCCCCTCTCTATAAATATTAGTCTCTTAATAAATATATATTTTCTTGATGGATGCATTTTCTTAAATCTTGTTTGAAACATTATTGAGCAAAAAACGCTGAATAACTCATACGAATTACTCAAAATATTTTCAATTCGATCAAAAATCAAACATATGATTTAAATGATTTTTGTAAAAAAAAATATTGACCTTTTCCCAGAAACGGAAATTTTTTTGGAAATTCTAAAGGCTGTTGTTCTAAATGTGGGCATTGTTTTTGAGTGTAAGTGATACAACAGGCAATAAAGGGTAACGAGTCTGGAACAATGAATTCTGATTTATTTCTTAGACTTTAACGATCGCTTTACCTAGGAAAACAATAGAACTTTTTACAAAAAACGCAAGCACTCACTGCGTAGATTTTTCGATGAAATAGAAGCGCAGACGATTAAGGAATTCATTATCTAAGGAAAACAAAGCAAAACCGAAATGCTGGAACAAACTTTGTCTTATATGAAAAAAAAGTTTTTATATACTTTTGTACAAATTGTAGCCGGATATCAATGAATTTTTTAGTATAAATGTGTACATAAATTACTCATAATCTTTTCTTACTTAAGACAGTAATAAATGTAACTGTATGTATACATTTTATAAGTTTATAAATTATTTACAAAGTGTTTTCAAAATTCTGATATTATAAAATGGAAAAATCGTTTTCTATTCTGACGTCAAAATTCAAACGACATTCTTAATTCAAATTTGAGTTCTTTTTTGCAGAAATTATACTTTTTTATTAATAGGGAAACATCGAACAATATCAGATTCTTAAGGGTTTTTTTAATTTCCTCAGAAATAACTTAAATAAAATTGCTTAAATTTAGACTTGAATTGTTAAATAGCACTTTATTTCAGGAAATAAAAATTATTTAATGCAAACGATGTTAAATTAATAATTTCTCAAGTTGCATTAAGGCTAAATTTTTTCCAACGAGGATGAATAAAAACAAGTTTTAACACCCTTCCTGATCGGATAAAACCGGGAATGTGTGAAAATTTTGGGTCAGTTTTCTGAGATATACAGACTATTTCCGTTCGAAAACAGACAACGACGCTTAATTGGTTTGAATCTTGAGAGAGGAGACGAGATATTATTATAAACAAACTTTTAACTCTTTTTGTTAAAAGCAAACAATTTTGTGTTAAATTAATAATTTCATTTAAAAAAAATAGTTTCCAACGCTGCACCGACGGTATTTTTTATTGTAATATTTTCATCAAAAAAAATCTATATACTTAGAAATTGAGAATTCGATTGGTGCACTTTAAGCAGAACAATCGAAAGAGAAATGAATCGAAACCAAAAGAAATTTGGAGTGAGCTCCAAAATTCCATTTTTTTTATAGCAACTATGATTCAACTTTATTCAATTCCACGAGTTATAGTATGCATCCTCGATTTTCGTATTTTTTAATGAAAAATTTGTTTGCATATACCTATTTGCCTGCAAATTTTTCACAAATTTAAAATGTTGTTTTAGAATATTTTGTTTTTCAAACAATATCTGGATTAATCTTCCTTTATTTAGGACGAACAAATTATAAGTAAAAATTAGAAATCGATTTTTCAAAAGCTTTATTTACAGAGTCGTTTGTTATTACAATTACTTAGCTTACATAACTTTTTTTAACTTAAATTTTTTTTTGCATTTTCACATTTGTTCCTTTCCAAA